TGGCAAGTATTATTCGCCGAGTCATCTTGCTGCCCAACGGGAACATATTTAATCAGTGTTTAATATGTACATTTTACAGAAATAAAACACTGCATACAGATTGTTTCTAAAAATATTCTAATTCTGTGCTGAAATGTATTTTCTGTTCCCTTATGGAACACAAAGCTGATTCTATGGCTGTATGTACCAGGCAGGTTTTTTGAAATAAGGACTTAGCTACACATATTTGACAATGTTAAGTGTGATATGTCTGTTAACAAGATGACTCATGAATAGAACATGTGCCATGTAAATGTGAAGACCTGAGTTCAAATCTCCAGGATCCAGGTAAAATCGTATAGAGTAGTGCGAGCATCTGGAATCCCAACTCCCCTGTAGGGAAATACGGAAAGAGACAGGTGAATCCCCGAAGCTCAAAGGCCGCCTAGCTTGGAATATGCAGTGGAGAAAAGCAGCAAGAGGCCCCATCTCGATCAAGGTGGAAGGTGAAGACTGATACCCCAGGTTGTCCTTTGATGTGCACATACGTCACAGCATGTGTGCACTTGTACTGTCCGATTAACGTATGTGCACATACAGTGTATACATATAAAACACAAAGATTAAAAAGCTACTTACATAAGCATAGTTAAAATTTATTATTTGTGTAAAGCAAGTTTTCCAGTAAATTTTACTAGTGTGAAGCTTGTGACTTCCTGACCATCCCATAACTAAAACCATTGCTATCATGAATTAAAAGACTCTTTCCACTCCGAAATAGAAAAGATTCTTAGTTTAGAGAGGGAGTTAGGTGTTCTGACTGACTCTTCAGGAAAAATGAAGAACTAGATAGAAGTTAAAATTCAAGTGACAGGAGCTGGTGAGATGACTTGGATGGTAGTAAAAACACTTGCTGTCAGGCCAGATAACCTGAGTACTGTGCCTGGGAACCATTTTGGGGAAGGAAAGAACAGAATCCCATGTGTAGTAATAAGGAGCAGCGGGGCTGCGTCCCCAGCACCCCGGCCGCCTGGCTAGCTTATACCCTGAAATAATTACACGGACACTGCATTCTTTTAAACACTGCTTGGCCCATTAACTCTAGCCCTTATAGGCTAATTTTCATATCTCGATCAACCCATCTCTAATAATCTGTGTAGCATCGGTCTTACCGGGAAAGATTCTAGCCTACGTGCATCCTGGCAGGGCATAAGCTAGCAGGCGGCCGGGGTGCTGGGGACGCAGCCCCACCACTCCTATTTCAACACCCACGGTTTTCCTTTGACCTCCACTCATGTGAGTGTGCTCACACACACGTACACATGAACACACACACACATACACACATCAAATAAATCTTACAAACAAAAGTGATGGAACATTTGCTTTCCCTTGGGAAAACTATGTAGGGAAAATTGGATCTTGAGGGATAGATACATAGGCAAATGGATAAGGGAGCAGTGATCGGAATGCATGCAGGGAACTTGAGGGCAAGAGGACAGAAAAAAATAGGGTTAATGAAAAGTGAATGACAACAAATGGTCCCATGTGGTTGAATCTGAGTGTGCATGATGTGGGAATGTAAGGGAGATACACCAAACTAGACGACTCAATTGAGACCATGTCATATGAGGTTTTACACCCTACACCAAGGAGTAAGACTTGAGTAGTAGAAAGTAAGCAAAAATGGTTGAGCTGGACATACCAACACATGTCAGAAAAGCGAGCAGTAGGATACATTCTGATGAAATTTTAAGGGGCTATCTTTCAAGTTACTGGACTTGAAGGACTCTTGGTGAAGTGAACGTTAAGGATGCTGGAAAATAGGGAAACCAGTTAGGCTATGGAAACACGACAAGGAATTATGAAAGCAGCGTGAGTTTGAAAACGTGTTCTGATAATGGGAGACAGCAAGAAAGGAAGAAGGACATGGCTGATCTGATAGTTGAGCACTAAAGTATTGGAGAGGGACACCGCTGCTACTAAAGCAGGTGACCTGAAGAGTTGTGGTGCCATTACTGTGATTTGGAACCCTCTGGGCAAGGAGTCATTTTCAGAAAGACGCAAGGCACTGGGGGAAAAAGAGATATAATAATGCCTAGAGTATATTTAAAAAAAAAAAACATTTATGAGGCTGGGGAGAAGACTTAGTTGGTAAAGTTCTTGATTTGCAATCCTTCTGGAGAAGCAGAGACAGGAGGATCCTTGCTTGCTGGCCAGCCCACCTAACTCAATTGGCAAGTTCTAGGTTCAGTGGTAGGACTTGTCTCAAAGAATAAGGGGGAAGAGGGAAAGAAGCAGAGAAAGACAATTTTACCTTGAGCCCGGCCTCCCCTACATATATACACAAGCACATATAACCAACCTAAACACACACACACAGACACACACACACACACACACACACACTACAAAAAGAGAAATGTCTTTGATATTATTGGAAGTGTAATTCAGTCTATTTCACCATTAGACTATATAAAGTATGTGTGAATATGAATTGTGGGGATAGAAACACAACCTTGTTCCTGTTGTATACAGAATTTACATTCTTGACTGTGTTTTTAAATATAATATTCTTAAATACAGTGGCTAGTCTGAGTAGCCACTTCTGGTACTGAGTCTATAGCTTCTAAGAGAAAAATCTATTTCCACTGCTCAGAAACTTATTAGGCCTCATCTATGCTGTAAAAAGAAATCTTTCAAAGGGCAATATATTCCAGACTTGACTTTTCAAATTATCTGTGCTGTTAAATATTATACATGTTACAAGATCACATTATGTAACTGATAAAAACTTTACAGCCAGATGTTTTCCTAAGAGTTGGCAAAAGGAAAAAGACAAAGAAGTCTGTGTTTCATTTCACAGTTAGAATTTAAGCAAAGGTAAATACCAAAACAAACAAAAAAACCTAAGCAAGTTTTCTGCTAAATTACCAATTCTTAAACTCATATGGGAAATCTGGGTCCTATGTTTGTTTTAGATGAAGATACAGAAAATGCTCTCTACATTTTCTACTCCCTTCACTTCTGGTATCTTTTGAGATTTTCCTCCATGCAAATAGACCGTGAGTCATTCTCTTGGACTGAGTGGTGACACATTAGTCAGCGGGAGTCGTAAGAGTTTAACTCTCCTGTGTAAACGGTTCTCTTGGAGCTTCGGCTCTCTGGAGTGCTGGACTGGAGAGGCGGTTTAGTGGTTAAGAGCACCTGTAGCTTTTCCAGAGGACCCAGACTTCGTTCCCAGACACATAGTGCTTTGTAACTCCCTGGAACTCCAGTTCCAGTGGATCTGACAGCCTCCCCTGCACTGCAGGCACATTGTGTACATAAAGGTAGTCACGGAAGCGCTCATATGCATAAAATAAAGCTGTGAAGGGATCTGTAGTGATACCTTTTGCAGACATTAGGAAAGGATCCTACCCAGTGTGCTGTGACGTATTTCTATGTGGCCTAATCCTGTGCAGTCTTTTGCTAGGAGGAGCTTTAAATTTCAAGGATTGTTTGGATTTAAAAAAAATGACATATATATATATATATATATATATATAGCCAGTGAAGTTTTTTTTTTACTCATAATCATTGAAAGGGACAATATTATTTTAGTATCTGTGTTTCAATTCTAGTCTAAAGGTCTTTTAAAGTCTTATTTGTAGGAGGTTGTTTATCCCAGGCTGGGGTTTGATTATTAACCCTGAGTAGTACCTTAACCTAGCTAGTATCAATAGGAGGTTTCTCTGGTTGGCAATACATTAGCACCCAAAGAACCCTTCTTCTGCTTCAGATCGTGCATCCTGGGTCATAAAAGCTAGGAGGATTATAAACCTTGATAAACCTTGGAATGGCTTGAATGATAAGTCATTCTTAGAACATTCAGAAAGACGAGGTTTATCTTGCTTTTCTAGAAATGTGTTTGGGAGAAGAAAGGAGGTTGTTACAGATGTGATATCTTTGGTAACAGTTGTGTCTAAGTTCAGGTTTGTCCTTAGCTGGTGCTGAATAGAAACAAATACTTCTATCCCTTATCTGTGTTGTTGTCCTTGCAAACCTGAACAGGTCCATGTGTGAAAACTTAGAGCTCTTGGAACAAAATATCTGTCTGTCTGTCTGCCTGCCTGCCTCCTGTCTGCTTTCTTTCTGTTTTCCTTTCTTGTAATAAATGTTAGTTGGGTGAAGGCGTATCCTTTTCTACTGTTATTCTTTTCTTCTTTACTTTGCTTCATAGTGCATTCATTGGGACCGAATATTATTTCCTTACATCATTTTATACGTGTATATAATGAACTTTGTAATGGCCTACCCATTGCCCTCGCTTACAGCATATCCTCCTTTCACAGCTTTGCTTCTCCTTCCCAAGTAGCTTGTGTAAAGTTGATATTCTCTTTGAAGATCTATGGAAATAGCACATCATTAATATGTATATCGGCTGTAAAACATTTTATGTACATTATTTGTCTCAGATCCCTATCTTGTTATATACGTCTTTGTATATATTAGTATCAGGTACATATGATAATCTGCCTCTTTATAAGTTAAAAAGAATGCATCTAAGTATTTTAATATTCCTTAGGAGGTAAGTTCTATCATCTACCAGCCAGTGGACTATTTGTTATTAAGAAAGCCTTTATGAAATTTGCATGTTGGAGTGCTTTCTCAGGTCTGTATTTCTAGCTACTCAGGAGGACCTGAGTTCCAGGCTTGCCTGGGAAAGAGAGTGAAACCTTATCTCAAAAAAAAAAAAAACCGCAAACTAGGCCCCAGAGGTAATGATGTTGAATTTTTGGTAATTTTGTGTGTGATGTTTTCCTTTAAACTATGAGCTCCATAGATCCATAACTAAATCTTGCACATGGTTATAACCCTTATGACTTTTGGATATGTAGTAGGCCTTAATAATGTTAATTGAATTATAGTACCTCTTTTTGTATCATTATGTCTCATTTTAAATGTTTTAAATCATCCGTTAAAATTGGATTTTTATATTAAGGATCTCAAACTAAAACTGAATTCATTTCCTTTTACAGGTGCAGGAGACATTGTTGCGATCATGATTGGCAATCTAAAAGGAACAAAAATTCTGCAGTCTATTCAAAGAGGCATACAAGTAACCATGGTCATCGAAGTAGGAAAAAAACATGGCCCATGGGTGAATCATTATTCGATTTTCTTTGTTTCCGTGTCCTTTTTTATTATTACGGCAGCAACTGTGGGCTACTTTATCTTTTATTCTGCTCGAAGATTACGGAATGCAAGAGCTCAAAGCAGGAAGCAGGTTTGTAAAGATCCCTTTTCCCAATTTTAAAATGCCATTACTGTTTCAATTATATTTTTGGTTTCATGTATATTAATATAATTACTAGACAAGGTCTATGCATATGTTTTATGAAATCTAGTCGTTCTAAAAGTATATCAACTCCCATCATCTCAAGCCCTATATTCTGTCATTTGCCAAAGAAGCTAATCCTGATTAAGTCTTTTAACACCTAAAGGGGCACAGCCAACATTTATTTGTAAGTGACTGTAAATACATATGTTGCTTTAAATGAACTGTTTTTTGAATTATAAAAACATTTCATACTCAAAGAAAAAAGAGAAATTATGAAGTTCAGATGAAGAATTCTTCACAAAATCAATATAACTGTTGTAACTGCCTGAAGGTTAATATGTGCGTGTGTGCATGTGCGTGTGTGCATGAGTGTGTGCGTGCCTGCATGTGTATGTGTGTTTGTGTGTGTGTGCGTGTGTGCCTGTGTGTGGGTGTGTGTGTGTGTGAGGGGGGGTGAGAGGGAGAATGTGGGAGTGGAGCTAAAAGAAAAAAATGCTGAGTTCCACAACAATGTAGGTTTTATTACAATTATTTATTGTGCATGTGGGCGAGGGAAGCTCATGGCATTCGTATGCATATGGAGGACAGAGGACAATTTCCCAAAGTCTGTACTCTCCTTCCAACATGTGAGTTCCAGAAATTTAACTCATGTTGGGATTAGATGCAAGTGCCTTTACTTCCTAAGCCATTTTACCAGCCCAAGGAAGGTTTTAAAAATTTAATGGTTCATGATACAGTGCTAAAACTCCAAACGGACTGCATGTTCATAATTTTTAGTATGTTTTGACATCAATGCTTTAGTGTGGAAATGATAGAACTAAACACCCAACATCTTTTTTTTAATTTATTTATTTATTAAAGATTTCTGTCTCTTCCCAGCCACTGCCTCCCATTTCCCTCCCCCTCCCCTAATTAAGTCCCCCCCCCCTCAGCCCGAAAAGCAATCAGGGTTCCCTGTCCTGTGGGAAGTCCAAGGAACCCCCACCTCCATCCAGGTCTAGTAAGTTGAGCATCCAAACTGCCTAGGCTCCCACAAAGCCAGTACGTGCAGTAGGATCAGAAACCCAGTGCCATTGTTCTTGAGTTCTCAGTAGTCCTCATTGTCCGTTATGTTCAGAGAGTCCGGTTTTATCCCAGGCTTTTCCAGACCCAGGCCAGCTGGTCTTGGTGAGTTCCAAAAGTATCTATGATTATTTATCCCTGATCCTGTCATCTTTAAACCGTCTTCACCCCTTTCATAGCCTCACTTCTGTAGTTAATCAGCTTAGATTCTGTGGCCATCCATGCACATCTGTCTTCAGTTCTCTTGGGCTTTCCGTATCTTTGTTATAGAGTTATCCTTTTGGCATCCATCAGGTTTGGTTTTAGGGTCTCCTGTTGTATACTTAAATCCATGGGTGCTCAAATCTCTTATGTAAAATGCTACAGTATTTGCATATGACTTATGCATATACATATACTTGAAATCATGTCTACATTACTTATAATAACTGATACAATGTTTATGCTATGCAAATAAGTCTTATGCTATGTTTTACAGGGAATGACTCTCAGAAAAACAGCCTTCACATATCCAGGAGAGATGCAGTCTTTTTATTCTGAATATTTTCAGTCCAGGGTTTGCTAAATCCATACACTTGAAGCCTGTGCAGAGTAGACCTTTCTTGCATTCCTTGTTTGTAAGTTTTGCAACTTAGGTCCCCAACACATCCTTCAACCTCACTGTCTGATTATATCTGATTCTGCCAAGAAAATGGAAGCAATCCAAAGAGTAGTTCTACATTGCTCCCTGTCTGTGTTTAGATCCTGCTGCTCTTCCCTGCCTTCTGTTTCTACAGGTGTTTTCTGCAGCAGCCAACATTCCCTGGCATACAGGCTCCTTCTTTCTTTTCTGCAGCAGCCAACATTCCCTGGCATACAGGCTCCTTCTTTCTTTTGTGTGCTCAAGGCTATCACTCCAGCTATTGTCCTTTCTACCTACTTTTAGCCATGTCTCCCTTTCCGCTGGTTCTTTCTAATCAATACGAGCACAAGGCAGTATTGCACCCATTTTCAATGGAATTTCTATTGTCCCTAGGCCAGAAACTATTGAGCTATTCTTTCCCCCCCACATTTCCCACAAAGCCTTCAAGAACAAATGATAATGGTTTTATGATCAGTATACACCCAGATAATAATTATTTAGCTACTTCCATTCCTCCTTCTTCCCTGGTCCGTGCCACCATCATTATTTGCCCTTCCCTTCAAGGTTTCTCAGTGTAACTGCAGAGTGTCATACCGCTTCTCTCTAATGTCCAGTTGGTATTTAATGCTCTCAGGTGATCTTGTGGTAGAAGCACAAAAAAGGGTTTTTATATAATCTGAGAAGTTCCTCAAAGGCAATGAAGTTCTGGCCACTTCAGGTACTAATTCTCCAAAAAGCAAAGAAGACCTCAGTGTATTTAGGACTGGAAGCAACAGATTTCTTGATTCACAATAGATGACAAGTTTAAATTTTATTGTAAAACCTATATAAAAATTAGGTGCCATTATATGGTAATACATTGTGATTATTGGAATATTTAGGATGAATTGACGTCTGTCCTCTTCAGTGAAGGAGCTTATCACAATGGTGGCAGGTCCAGCATGTTACTAGCTATGATCAGAAGGATGTTTAGCATTCCTATCCCAGGTCACTCAGCAAATTCACACTGTGTTAATATTTGACATTTGATTATCATGCAGTTTTTTTATCTCTGAGATTGAGAAAAATGCTATCACGTATGATTAACTATTCAAAGGTTATAGTCTCAACCGTAAGAGTGGTTTGTGTGTGTCCAAGGTAGAATCTGTGTTTCTGTATTTTAATTTCTACAATAAATCTATAAACCCCTTTACCAAGTAATAAGGTTTATTCCTGGCTTTTAAACAACAGAAATAAATTATTCACAATTACGATTCTGGAGGCAGGAACGAAGGGTTTGTAAAGAACTTTTGCCTGGTGTTGCACAAGCTTCATTGCACATTTAAGCCTAATCCCATCTTTCATGTAAGCCATTTTCAGAGATTATAATATATTTTATGAAAGTTAACCTCTCTAGAATAATTTCTCAAGAACAGCATTAAAGCTTCTCATCTGTTACAGAAGGCTTTTGGAAAATCTGCTTTTACTGTTTATTGAATTTTATCCCCTTTCTCCTTTGAGGATAAAAGGATTAACTATATGAGCAATAGTCACTTTTGCTTATAAAGATTCGAGTGCTGCAATGTTACCTATATATTTGGTTTTCATACGTTCAGATTTGTTTACAAAATGCTTCATGTGCATGTTTACAACTTTAGCTCAACATTTGTCACGTTTTTTGCTTTGTCCTGGTAGAAATGTTGGTGAAGCTATATTATGGGACTTCCCCTCTATTAGAATATTAGCGAAGGCTGAGCATGGTGGCCAATGCCTTTAATTCCAGCAGAAACAAGTGGATCTCTGTGAGTTCGAAGTCAGCCCTGCTATATAGTGAGTTCTCCAGAGTGAGACCCTGTCACTAAAAACCAAAACAAAAGAATATTAGGGAAGATTATGTATCTAGAGATATCTTCCTTCTGAAGATTATGAATCATATTACTAAATATTGCACAAATTAATGATGGTATAAGTTTGGATAATTACTCAGGTGAGCCCTCTGGTGTAATTTATTTATATGGTCAAGAAGATGTTTAAGACCACACATTATCCCGGTTCTGTGGGTGGGAAACTTCTAAACACCATGAAAAACACCAGTGAGTTAGGAATGAAAATAACATACTAAGCATAGCAAACTGGATTTGTTTCTACTTGAAACAATATTAATAAATAATAAAGAAAACTATGAGAAATGTCATAGTTACACTAAATACTAAACTACTCATGGCAATGACCACTGTAACACTATAGAATACAGTACCCAACATTTGGAGGGAGGTATAGGGTATGTATGCTGACATTCCTTAAGGCAGTTGATACTCAGTGTCAGCTTACATTGGATTAAATACTGTTAAATGAAACAAATGAGGGTACTTGGTAAATTAGGAACTAGAATAGGTATAGCAAGAAAAGCTGGATTTATGCTTATGTTTTTAAAAGATAATTTTCAAAATTATAATTAATTACATCATTTTCCCTCACCAAATCCTCCCATGTAGTTCCCCTTTCTCCAAATCCATGGCCTCTTTAATTGTTGTTTCCTATGTGTACACACACACACACACACACACACACACACACACATATATATATATATACCTAAACGCATAAGTACAACCAGCCAGTCCATATAATGTTATTATTATGTATATTTCCAGGCCTGAACATTTGATATTGGATAACCAGTTCCCTGGGATGACTTTCCCAACTCTCAGCATCTCTTAGTTCTTCGTGTAGGTTGAGGCCTCACAGGCGTTCCCATTTTCACATTAGTATGCTACTGGTGTCAGCCTTGTACATTTTCCCTTAATGAACAGTGATTTTAAGAAGACTAAGATGTAGTAATTAAAATAGATAGGAAGGAATCATTTCAAGAGCAAGAGAAAAATGGAATCCCTGTAGCATGTAATGAGCCTTGATAAAATATTCACACAAATCAGAGCAGTTGATAAGTTCAGGCAACACGATAGAAGAGGAGCAGAAAGAGCATAAGAGCCACAAGATAGGAAGGACTGTGAAAAGCCATCTGCTAGGTCTCATACAATCATGGCAGGAATGACCTTACGGCAATTACAGCTTCTTGTCCTGAGCATGCACAAGACCGGCCCTTCCCAACCCTGATGAACTGTGGTTGGCTATTGATGGATGTGGAGGAGTGGAAAGTCATTGTCTTCAGTTGCATACCCAGTGATAAGCCCACCGGGCATGCTCCAGTGGATAATTCCAAACCAACAGCCATACAGATATCCATGGTTAAACTCACTGGTTCACAAAACAAGACAAAAAG